AGGCCGCAGCCGGCGGCGGTGCCGCGCTGGTGCTGACGAGGTGCACAGCAGCAGTGGAGGGGTGGTCCGGATCCTGCGACGCTGGGATTTCCAAGCATGCAGCACCTGAGTAAAGGGAGTAGAAAAAAAAAAATGCATCAAGCCACCAGGGAGGGGTTCTTGCCCTCCTCCCCGCCCCAAAACCAAACCATTTCCAAACACAGAGACAGCTCATAAACCCTCCTGCGCCAACAAAACCTGGGCAACTGCACTTAGAAGACATAAGCGTTTTCCATCGAGAGAGTACGACCGGAACCGCTTTGGCGTCAAGGCCTCGTTCTGATCTTTTGCAGAGTCCTCGGAAAGAAAACCCTGCCACGAAAGAGCCGAAGCCTCCGGGAAGTGGGAGCAGGCCCATCTACGACTGCGCTTCTCAGCCTTTTCAAACCCAGGACACCCCTGGTGCGACCCGACCCCGCTCTGGCCCAGGCTTCCCTCCACCGCTTTCTCTCCTGATCTGCAGATCAGATTTGCTGTAGATGAAAACCATACCAATGCAAAGGGTCTGCATTGCCCTCGGACCAGTTTAAATCTCACCTGGCTTCTTAAAATATCTCCTAAGTGGGATTAAAGTGGCACTGAGCCTTGTGAAGACAAAGAGCTCTAACTTGATGGTCAGAGAGACATCTTAAGCCCGCAGATTTTACTTCAGCTGCCATGCCACTAAGTTTAAAAAGTCCAGCAGGTTAGCTGAGCTTGAATTGTAGCCAAAAAGTGTAGTTGGATTATGGCAGCGCAAGGAAGGAAAGACATCTTTTTGCATCTCCCCGTTTTTTAAAATAACATTAAATGCAGATAAGATTTTCCCACTGTTTTGAATGTTGGAAACTGACCAAATTAAGGAGGAAAGTGAGACTCCACTATCTCCATAGGCTCTGAATGTTCCTGAATACAAAACAATGTTTCTGGTAAGAAACAAAAACAAGTCAATCTGGACCACGTTTAGCAGGGCAGCTTTCCAGAAGAGCAATGCTGGGAGGATGTTACTTCCACGTGTGCCCAGAGGGGAGGAATGGGAAGTGTGTGCACCTACCTGGCAGTGCTGGCAAAGCCGACTCAAAACAAACAGCAATGGTGGGGCATGTAAAAGTCAGCAAAGGAAAACACAGGGAAGTTTTTCAGTACAGAAATCCATGGTCCCTGCCAACTGCAGTCAGGGTTGGAGTACAATTCAACCTATACCTACAGACCTTTGTTTTCAAAAAGATAAACAACACTGCAAATTTATTTCTTACAAACATATAAATTATTTTATTTACAAAGCCATGTTACAAAAAAATAATAATAATAAAGCAAAAAACCCCCAAACAAACAAACAAACAAACAAAAAAAAATACAATCGCTCACTAGAGAATATCTCCAGGCCTGGTGTTGAACCATGGCAGTATCAATCAGATACGGGTTTGTTCTGTTTTTCCTTTTTTTTAAACTGTAAGCCATAGAATTTACTATTTACACCTACTTTAGACATTTACTCTGCTTACAATTATCACAAGCATGGAATGAACTCTATTTGATACTGCTAATACATAAAGGTGCAGGACAAAGAATGAAAATACTTAGTGTTACAAAATATGGATTGTAGAAAAGAAATTGACTGTACAAGTATGGCATTGTTTCTTTAGAATGATTGGACATGCTTTCTTCAAAAGTCTTCTGGAAAAGGTTCTAAAATCTGTAGTAGGAAAGCACAATAGAGCAGGTGCAAATTTGTTTCTGTGCAACAACAGTTATTTAATATACCCCATGACTGACCAGCTATGCAAAACCCACAGAGTTTTGTTAAAGTGCCATGGGTCAACAGCATAACAAAATATAAGGTGTAAATAGAAAAATTTCTTTTTTTCTTTTTTAAAACAAGAGTTCACTGAGAATCAGCAGTAATAGAATATGCTGTATAAACTATTCTCTACAAAGGTTGATCAGCATTATTTACAATCGTTACATTGATACAAAAGAAGGCATACAAGTTATCCAAGTCGCTTTTTATGGCTGACGGGCCTATGCATTGCGTATGTGTAACAACCAAAGCTTCTGAGCCTCTATTGCTGGAAACGAATCACAAGATCTTCAGGCAAATGGGGGAGAAAAAGAACTGCTGAGTGAATGCTACACTAAGAATGCATTATAGGCTGGTCCAGTTTATATCCATTTTTTAAATGTTTATTTCCATTTCACTTTTCAGGCTGATTTTTTAATACATAGAAAATTAAATAATGATTCTGTATGAAGGAAGAAATACCATGGGGTTTTCACTTGATGCTTAGCTTTCCCGAAATGCTGTCAGGTCTAAGCCAGTTCAAAAATACATATAAAGCAGCATTCAAAGGACAGTCTCCATATTCCAGCTTTCCAATTAAAAGATGCATGTTAAGAGCTAAAACTTCTTAAAACTACTGAATTGCTCACTCCTTCAGTCATTGACTAGCATTATTTCTCAGAAGCAGCCACTGAATCTCACAACCACTTGTTTCCCTCCAAAGGTGAAGTGACAGTTGATTAATTAGAGGGTGACTTTGTTACTGAGATTTTTAAAATCCTGCAGTTTTACAACTCAAAATAAATTAAAAAAAAAAATCAACATAGTACTGCTCCTAAAACTAAACAAGACAAAAATTGTGCAAAAATAACAAAGATATGTACACATTTTTTCAGTCTGAAGAAATGTACAATAAAAACATAATTCAAAGAACATCTTAAAAATATAAACATTGCTTCAACTTTCCTAAGTTTCATACTGTTTCTGAAACTATTCCGGTCAGTTAGCTCCGAAATATAGCAAAACATAAATTATTACAAAATTAACACTATAAAAATTTACTTTAAGAATATCTTCTAAACTTTTTTCAAAGGGTCTAGCCTTATTTATAATTGCTTAAACATTTTATAAGTTTTAAAATCTGCCTTAAGCCTTCTTTTTTTAAAAAAGAAAGTAGTAATAATCTCCCTACTATTTGCAGTCTCTCTCCTTTCCCCAAGATGTAAATAAACCAGCATAAGTGCACTTTTAACACTGTAGAAATAAAAATTAACTCCTCTGAACTAATGTTCCAGTACCGAGTATCAACTTCCCGATTATAAAATCTACATTTTATAAAAAAAAAAATATTCAGTAATCCTATAAGAAAACACTGTCAGTGCAATTCTACTGATGCAAACCAATCTGCTTAACTCTTGTCCTTGCATCCAGATCATTTAATGAAGCAAACCATTAGTTTGATCTTAAGGGCCTAGACTCCTGCCAATTTTCATGTTGAGTTCCTACTAACAATAATGGGAGTTAGGTGCATAAATCGTCTATGCCTTGACTGGAGTACAGATTCCTTAAGACGTTTATCCCCTGAATGCTGAGCACTTGGATCTCCCTCTGAAGTCAATGGGAGCTGAAGTGTTGAGCACCCACCAGGATTATTCTCTACAGTTGCAGTGCCCCAATTGTTACACACTGCTGAGAAATGCACTCAGTAATATTTCTTATCCATAGGACAAGCATAAATAGAGAGATTACTGTAGTTTTTAGGTAATGACAAGCAGTTTGGAGAACAACTGAAAATAAATTCAAACCATGAATTTGATTATTCTGGAATGTCCACTGTCAGTGCTGTAGGAAACAAAGGGAGCAATGCAATACTAACAGCTTGAAAAGTCGTGAAACAGAACAAAGCAGAATGCACAGATCAGTGGCAAATACTAAGTGAGAAACTAAACAAAGCACTAGTACAGTTTTCTGTAAATTTAAAATTTTCTTTAAAACCACAAATTGATAAAAGGTTAAATCCACCTGCAGGACACAGAAAATAAAAACCCTGTGGAGTAGGGCTGCTGAGAGCTAGAGATTATCAGCTGGTTCCGTTTCATTCTTATGGAAGAGTCCTTATCCTGCCAGTCCGGTTTGATGTCTTCTAAAAAAAGAAATCAGAGCCAGTTTCAAAACCAAGAAATTACATTTTTCAGTATATGCATTTAATAGTTAACATAGTGACTACTTTCATAATGCAACTAATGCTGCAAGGAAGAATAATAATAAACAAACCCTTTTATTAGGTCTCATAGTAACTGAAGTTTAATCCCTTTTGCAAAATGTAGGTCCCTGGCAGATATTACCTTTACTGCACGACTCTTTGGTTGATAGTCTGATAAGTTACATGCCGTGCCACATGTTCACCCAAAATGCCAAACCACCTACAAAGATGTTCCTTCTTTAACGTGAAACATCTCGTGGCTCATTTATATGGTTCTTTAATTTGAACATGTGGCATGTTAAGGCTTTCCATGCAGCCCTGCAGCGCGGTTGCCCCACAAACCTTTTCCACTACAGTACTGGGTGTGAAGCTTCCCCTACTTGGCTCTCCCCACTCTGCAAGTTGAAAGCTTGGCAGCTGGTTGCTGGGATCGTGCAGCTTTCAATTTGCTGAGCAGGGGGAACCAATCAACTTGCCCTGCCTGATAGCTGCAAACCCACATGCCCTACAATCCTGCACACTGGGGATGTGCGAAGCAGGCAGTATTCTATTTGGATTTGGCCTGATTCAGGGAACAGTGATTCAATTTGCTGATTTGGATCACTGTCCTGGTTTGATTCGGCCAAATCTGAATCTGAAGATTCGATTCCCATTCAGAGAATCAGCGATTCAGCCACAGACACCGCTTTATATGTTTTCTCTATGTACCTCGAGGTACCAGGCATGGCTCGTGAACGCTGAGATGGTGGGGCGGATGGAGCATCCGGGGGGGCGGGGGCTTCATCCGCCCCACCATCTCAGTGTTTACGAGCTGCTCCTGGTATCTCGAGGTGCACAGAAAAAACATATAAAGCTGTGTCTATGGCTGAATCATCGAATCTCTCTGAATTGATTTGGAGAGATTAATGGGTCTTCTGATTCGATAAGGAGATTTGGCCACCAAATCGGGCCAAATCTCTGAATTGAATCAGCGACTGAAGCTTCACAGACCCCTACTGCACATGCTGGTTTTACAGGTCTTGGTACGCCCAGCTGCATGCACATGGGGACCTTGGGATTGGGGAGAGATGCCTGAACCCTGGGGTCACGGTGGGCTGGGTCCTTCACAAACCATCTGTGTAGCCCCATGTGTGGGGCTGGCAGGCACAGGGGTTTACAGGGGAGAAGGGGGTGTTAGAATCAATTGACTCCCTGTTTGACACTTGCAAACCCATGCCAGGGGGCAGCTGCATGGCATGGCATGACATGACACATGATTGTTGCAACTGAGGATCAG